ATGTCTGAGCCCACTTCAAGAGTGCGGGAAATGGCAGCCTCTGCTTTGGCCACTATAAGAGAGACAAGGCGAGCTAGGCCTACGGAAAATACAGCATCCGTACCATCCCTCTCCGCCATTGCGCCCAATGCAATCCTGAATGTGCTCCGAATGATTCTCGAGGGAGAACTTAGTTTCTGGTTTTTAATGCCACGAAATCTCATTCTATAAGTATATAAGATATCTCATATGCTATATAAGATATCTTAAATAATTCGATGAAATACAGGATCGACATTGCTCCTTGAATAAATGTTAAGTTGGCTTGCCATAATAAATATTTGGTATTTACCAGTGCTCATATCGAATTAAGTTGCCGCCGTCTTGATTATATTCGAGACACTAAACGCAAACATCTTGCGGCAAATTCGAAAACAATTGGTCACATAATGAAAACTGTGTACTCTGCACCTATAAAAATATTTCTTTCCAACTGATGAGCGCTGATTTTAGCGACTTAATTGTACTACTCGACTGTCGAGTGCGATAACCAGCTTAACATCAGACAGGCTACACCAACGTCTGTTGTCGTGTGTACACGACAGCTGGGATGAGACGGCCCATTATTTTGTCGTGTGTACACGACATCGGTACGGAAAGAGTTAATAGGACTGTAATTATTATATTATAAAGACGCTGACTTTTGATATTTTACTTCTGTAACTGTAACAGTGGCACCAGCATTAGGGTTAGTTCCCCTTGATATATGAATTTATGTATAAGAGTTACATGGATAATCAAATCCAAGCACAAATAACAAATAGTACAATGAAAATGAGCTTACCTAATGCCTCATTCAATAGGCTTATTTCTTTAAATACAAAAAATGGTGCGCAGTCAAAGGGAAATTTCAAGGCAAGCTCTAAGATGCTATCCAGCACTGAAGGTACACCACTAACCGCTATGATGTTATTGGCCTTACCTATACAATATTAAAACCTTGTGGTCAGTTTTTTTTTTTTATATAACTTAAAAACAGAATGTTGATATACTAAATAGTTATTACTCCGATATACGACCGTACACGTCTCAGTGAAGGCGCTACCATTTCCCAGTGAAGGTGCCACTAAGCACAGCTTATAAACTGCTTGCATTAAATTGCCTCACTCTGCATACTGTCTGTCTTTGATGTTTATTTACCTCTGATGTTATTCTGCTCTGCAAGTATTACTGCTCATTTTAACTACAGTGAATATTGATCTGCTTGGGGAACTACAACAGGCCTACTGTTGGTGCTTATCATCACTGACTTTTTATGTTATCTATGAGTCGCCACCATCATCAATTCTGCATCTCGCTTGCTGAGAGTATTTTTTCAGCATCAGCCAATCAGCACCCTGCTAACATGAGTTAACCAATTATTGTTTTGACTCGGCAACGTTTATGATGAAACGTCTCTCTCGTTAACAGTGAAATTATGGTACATACGGGCGAAACATAAACTGCTACAGCACAATTTATGGACACTTAGTACGTTTTAAATGTTCAGGAATCATTCGTGATCACAGTTACGTACCGTCAGTGCATATAATGAATAATATAGAGAAGAACGGCATGGTGTGATAGTCGTCTGCTAAACAGCTGATTGCGCCACATTGTTAGCGGTCTTGCACATGTAACTAGTGGCGGACACTCCTGTCGTTTGTGAAATATTCATCTCACCTTTCAGGTGAATTGATAATGTTACATATGCATGAAGGATGTTATGTTATTCCTGCATTTTATATTAAAACTAAAACTGACACAGGATATGACGATAACCTATGTGCCTTGACGACTTAATCCTTGATCAACACACGAAGTTACGTTATAGAGGCACGATAGTCTAGTGGTAGGACGCCGGGCTCGTGACCAAAGGGTTGCTGGTTCGACACGGCACTATGTTGTATCTTTGAGCAAGATACCTTCTCCGCTTGTTCAAGTCTACTCAGCTGTAAATGTAAATGAGTACGTGGTTGGACAGTGTTAGAATTGTAGAAAGCTAGCTGTGACCGCCGAAATGGCAGCACCGGCTGTAGACTCCCGAGGGAGTTGAGAAAGATGTTGGCTGGTTGCAAATGCCCTATAACCACGGTTATTAATTTGTGAACCGCTTTGAGACGAGCTACGAATTAGGTTGTGATTAAGCGGTATATAAGAACCTCGAATTATTATTAATAATTATTAGTATAGGCACAGATGATCTTAAAAATGCACTGGCAATGTTACATTTATGTTATATATATATATAAATAGACGAATTGGCTACATGTACACTTTACCTGAAGATGCTATGACTTAACAGAAAATGTTACAACTCGAACCTAATGACTGTGGTAAGTATTTATAATAGAAATTGGTTTCAAAAGAGAAACCTCAAAACTATTAGAAAATATCATACCTGAACACACACTATCAGTACATTTACATTCATATCTGGAAACGCTCTTCACAATATCATATTATTTACGGAAAAATCTACCAATACCTGAATTATGCAAAATATAACTAAAAGCGTATATCCTATGAAATCCTGAAGGAAATCGATATAAATGGTAACAGGCTTTAATCTGTGAGATCTTTTTAATTAATAAGACGGATGACATATGTTTTGATAAATAAGCGGCAATGGTATGTCATAATTGTGATTTAATTATTTTAAAAATCGATATCACCGTGTCAGTTTTGCCATTCAGAACAAAATGATTCGCAAACTAGAATTTATCAGATGCAATATTGGTTAGGTTTGGTTTAATTGTGTTTAACGTCCTATTAACAGCTAAGGTCATTTAAGGACGTGTCTCCATGTCTGTAGTGTATGTGTGCTTGCGTATGTGTATGCAAGAGACATTGTATGTTGGTGTGCTTGCCTCGTTGTGATAGTGTGGATCTGATGCCGACTTTATAGTGCTATATTACTGAAATGCCATCCCGAAGGCACCAAGCACAGCATTCCGCCCGGTCACATTATACTGACAACGGGTGAACTAGTTGTTGCCATTCCTCTTAATGCTGAACGTTTAGCATGGAATTAGCAATATAGAATAGGGCGTAGTAGATAGATTGCTTTGTCTTAAATTTGTTAAACGTCCTGTTAACAGCTAAACTCATTTAAGTACATGCCTCCGTGTGTATTATGAATGCGTGCATGTGTGTATGTATGCTAAAGACAGGGCATGCTGGTTTAATTGCCTCCTTGTAATAGCACGGATCTGATGCCGACGTTAACATGATACTTACTGAAAATCCATGCCGAGGACATCTAGCACAGAGAGAAATATAAAGACACCAACTGTTGCAATGGGCGCAGCAGATTTATTTTTGTCGCTTTTGTGTCCCTAAGCAGAGGTCACAAAAGCAAATCCCTAAATATGCAGTTCCCATAGTCGCCTTTTACAATACTTGCATTGGGTAAGAACTTGTGTATCCTTTTCTCAATCCCCGTCCTGCAGGAATGAGGCGTTGTTGAACGGTTTAGGCACGCTGCTTACTTTGAGTTTATATGGCGGTTGGTTTACGCTTTTCCATTGTGGAATATGTTTAATGGAAGCAATTTGAAGCAAAAAATTACGAGGGGCCATTCAATAAATGCTGTCACTGCACAGCTCCCGTGCGGATGGGTAATACAATAGTTTAGTGCCTTGGCATACTGCAAACGAATTTAAATAACAATTTACGTCCAAAATTTAACACCGTGCGACAAAAATTGAACGACTTATTCATTGTTGAATGGTATGCACTCGTAACTAGAGGCTACTATTCCATTCTAAAAAGAAGGTTGAGACTAAATCTGACATAGGCTCCTATACTAAAGCATGTCGTGCGTTACAGATACCGCCAAAATAATTCATGCAGAGTTGTTCAGCATAAAAGGAACATCTGCCGTCACATTGAGAGCTTTTTTCAGGTTTGTGAACAAATTTAAGAATGTAAAAGATGACAACAGAGAGGACAACAGGTCCAGACAGACCAGTTGTTGTAGCATCAAAGAATGTCATTGCTTCTGTGAACGAAATAGTTAAGGATGATGGTCGTTATACTGTTCGCAGCTAGCTCATATGGTTGGCATTGCAGAAGGCAGTACACATCACATTCTGACCAAATGCTACAAGAGGCTTTGCACCGAAAGGCCAAAGGTTTGAAATATGCCCAAACATATTGAAAAAGAAGAGTAATTGTGACTCAAGGAAACTATCTGGGATGAGACCTTCGTCTTTTATTTGGAACCCCAGAGGCGAAAACATAACAAGTAATGGTTGTCGCGAAATATTGTACATGTGTTTTTTTAAGCAAGGGAATGTAGTACATATTGACCACCAACTCTATTCTCCAGATCTAAGTCCTTGTGACTTCTTTGTTTCCCTAACTAAAGGAAATCTTACAGTAAATCTACTGCATCCATCTTAATATTTGGGAAATTTGTATTTATCTCAGCTGCTAACTATATTTTGTACATAACCTGTATCCGGCACACATGCACATGTGCACGACCATGGCTGTGGATCGGATGTTCAACTCTATATAACATACCTATCTTCTCATAGTTACCAAATAATATTCTAAAAGGTCATCTTCATCATCACGAAACGTTCAAATGAAAGTCCCTTTCAAACTCTTTTTTTTCTTTCGGCGTTTTCAACATCATCCCCTTTCATTGGCTTTTAAGTGATTAAGAGCCGTTCTCAACGAGTAAACTCCATCTATATCATAATAGGTTAGAATTGTGATGTGTAGAGGGGCTTCCATGATTGTTCCAACCGCAATCCTACAACTATTCAAGAATGATTCAAATGATCTACTTTAAAATGTGTGTTCTTTCATTAAAATTTCAAAGTCATGTTATGAATATTTATCAGCAGGTTTGAAACACTTCAACGTGATGAATTATTATGCACTGAGAATATCGTAGACTCAAATGTTCCGAAAGTTCAAGTACTCCCTACTTTCTAATTCATTACTTTCTGTAACAGTTACATGGTTTAGTTAAGCACGGATACATATGTGCAAACACGTTCCCTTTAAGGCGATAGATAGTCGGCAACATAAAAAGCAGAAAGAGTTGTTATTATACGATTGCATGCTGTAAACAAGGACTTGTCATGTGAGTATGCCTTTATATTCTTTCTATTTATCAACCCATTTTTCTTCATTATTGGGTTCTGGATCTACACCCGTTTCTGGTGGGGGATCAAGAAAAGAATACACCAGCTGTTACTCACTGCATGTATCGTAAGAGACAACTAATGTGGCAACTCCCTGCAGAATTGTGGATTTAATTTTGTGCCCTCTACTTAGGGTAGTTGTTATTCCCTACTTAACGTTCAGCAATTAGGGGAATGGCATAAACTGGTTCATCAGTTGTCAGTATAATGTGACCGGGCGGAATGCTGTGCTGGGTGCCTTCGGCATGGTATTTCAATTTGATAACACTAAAAAGTCGACATCGGATCCGTGCTATCACAAGGAGGCAATTAATTACACCACCATACCCTGTCTCCAGCACACTTACACAAACGTAAGCACACAGAGGCACGTCCTTAAATGACCGTAGCTGTTGATAGGCCGTTAAACGAAATAAAACCAAACTACATGTAACACTAGATCGTGGGTAACTATGACTATTTTGCTACTTAATAAAAACAAAAAAATAGAAATAAATAAAATAATTTAAAAAAAAACCCGCAAAATATGAAGAAAAAATATAAAATGACTTGGAGGATATACCTACTCACCTACAGTAATATTTTTGTCATTTTAGCTTCGGCATCTTTCTAATGTCAGGTCTTTCACTAGTTCGTATAAGTCGTTAAGAATTTATCAGCTCAATCCATCCATCAAAAGAAAACCAAAGCTCGAAGTAACTTTGTCATCATTAAATTAAAGTGTTTCGATCTAGTAGCCTAAGGAAGCAAACTAAAGCAGTGCTAAGATTTTTCATCCATGCCAATCTATAGCACGTAAAGTCTCTGACACGAAGTCAAAGACAAACACAAACGATGACGTATTGATGGACACGCAAGGTCGATTGCACTTAGCGTGTTTCAATAACAAAATGTATTGATGATGCAAAATTCAAACTGCAATAAATCATGCTGTTTTAAATATAAGTTATATAAGATATCATTTATACCAAGCCGAATATCCGTGTAACATTGTTGTTTTGGATCAATTTCCCACGTGTTGTAACCGTTTGATGTTGAATAACTTCAGTGCATCAGTAAAAGCTTGACGTTGTTGTGTTATTAAGATCATGATCAGCTTTTAACAAATTGCTTTGGTACAGTGTATATTTTCAAAATATATTTTTTCTAGAAATATCTAAATGGAACATGTTTTTTTTTCTGTATTAAGATTATTGTTTTTAAATTTCTTAACATACAACAGGTAACGTTTTAGTTGCAATAAGAAAGAGCGGTGTTTTTTTTTTTATCAGAAATCATTACTTTCATTTGATTCAGTCATGCGTGATTTTCATTGGCTACGCTAAAGCCGTGGTTACCGCAAGAATGTATTTTTGTCGTATAAGCTGCAAAACCATACACAATCTTTCAAAATCGAGCCCTTAGTTTTGTGCATGTGACGGCCCTGTAATATTTCCGTTTTGACACGGCGTCATCGAGCCAATCATCTTAATCAGGGTCAAACATACATGTACCACCCAAGTTGAACAGGCTATCGATGTTCTGTTTTCAGGTGTTTTCGCTTTTATTTAACCCATGATAGTACCTTACAGAGCGCAAAGATAATAGAGACGTCAAGGAGAAGGTGTTGCTGACTGTTCAATATTCATCGCTGTGGCAAAACACTGTCAAAATGTTAGATTGGCCTGATTTTTCCATATCTGTTTTCAACATATTATGTATAGGATGTTGCAAAAAGCAGTTCGCCGCCGCTATAATTAGTCCGGTATAACTACAGAAGTGGAACAACATTCCCGTTTACGTCCTTAGACTTCAAGTATGTCTATGCGGCGGCGCATCAACGCCATTCCCAATGCTTTATACTTTTATCAGTTTATTTCCAAGAAAAAACGCACGTGATCGGGGATCGATACCTTTACATGGCCGAACGGAGAATCGAACCGCTGCGTTATTTGTGAGATGCGAATGCGCTATCCACTGTCACCTAGCAAATATCTAATTAATGAGGTTGTTTGACATTTAGGTTTTATATTTTGCCATATATTTTCTAACTAAACATGTTCAGTTCTCTACAATACGGAGTGTATCCTAAGTATACTGAAAGGACAAAGAAACGAAGGGTAAACATTTGCGGTGATTTAATGTTACGTATTTGAATATACACTGTATATTAATATATGTTATTGACGTACTTAAACGAACATATATGAAACATTACCTGTGTCTGGAGACAGGTGGCTATGGTAGATCTAGCAGTAGATGGTATTATTTAATATTAACGTACATGTACTCATGTACTTCACATTTCTCGGTCTCGCACATTCTCTTGTCTCACCAAAGGAATGATGGCTTCGAAGGAGATGTTGGATGAGCATAGCTTCCAGCGACAAGCTGAAATAATATCCTTTTCTGTCGGAGCTCCAGGGCCTTTTACTATGAAGGGATGTAAAGAGATTGTGATGCAATCGACAGCATTGGCAATGGTAAATATCGTTTAATGATTTTTTTTGTGTGAAGTAATTGGAAACGTCCATAGTATTATTCGAAGATTAATACAAAAATATTGACAAACCAAATGATAAAGTTAAGAAATTTCATCTTGTCTTTGACTCGTTAATATTTGTAGACGGCATTTTTGAGGTTTTTACCCTTGCCTATATCATACTTGTATTTACAACCATCACATTATCCCACATTTTCCATCTTTTTCCTCAACTTACTTCCTGATTGAGTGGGAATGACCCCGTCCGCCACTTTGACGTAAAGATACATCCCGTCACTTGCGCGTGTTCATGATGAACTTAAGATGTACAAAAATTTGTCTTCGGATACAAGCTAACCGAGAGGATATGCGATTTAAACAGCATATTTCATATTTATGTGGCTAATGTATTTTTGTATTATTGTTTCATAGTAACTGTTTATCTCTGTTATATGTGGTGATATGTTAGTGTTCAGAGGTCTGTCTTGAAAAAGAGACGGGTTGCTCTCAAAATTTGACAAATTTCTTTGTCTGCACTGCCGTTTCTTCTTATTTGCCTATATAAATATTATCGTTTCGATCCATTAACATGCTTTTCAACATTGACCAGTATTCAGGTATTAATACTCTTTAGAATTAAATACATTTAGCATTGAACAGTATTCAGGTAACAATACTCTTTGGAATTAAATGCATTTAGCATTGAACAGAGTTCGGAATTCAATTATCTTTGGAATTAAATACATGTAGCATTAAACAGTGTTCGGGATTCAATACTTTTTGGAATTAAACACATTTGCTTAAGCGATAACAAATATTGTAGAAGGACCCAGAACAGGAGCAGTTCATTTTCCAATACGGACCAACACAAGGAGACCCAGTTTTTCGAAAAGATCTTGCAGAGTTCTTAAGCAAAGAGTATGACGATCATGTTAAAAGGTAAGTAAACTTACACACGTATATATCTTTCTCTCCATGGGAACAATTTCCAACAATCTTGTGTGACGTTTGATTTCAATTTTAATCCACTGTACCTGTTTTGGCTTTTTATTTTGATATCGAATATAACTCCTGTCTGCTAACGCAAGTTGGGGATTAATTATCTAAATGTATTCACTGGTTATAACTTTCATGCGATTTTTTTTTTACCTCGAACATATCAAAGTTATTACTATGATTAAATAAAATATAATTCATTCATATGCTAACAAATCTTTCATTTCTCACAGCGACAACCTCATGGTGACAGTCGGTGCCACCCATGGCCTCCATGTGACTGCAAGTATTCTTTTCGACCATAACTTACCCATCTTCGTGGAGGATCCCACTTTTCACTTAGCCTTCAAAATTCTGAAGGATGATTTGGGCAAGACCGTTATACCAGGTACAGTTTTGAGTTGTAAGCACAACATGCATAAATTTCAGCTCCCTGTTAACAAAACAGTGTCCAGGTGAAAGAGAAAAAGGAAACGTTTGATTTTCTTAACCATGTACTGTAGAATCATTTATTTTCCTGGGGTTAAAACTTCATAGTTTTCATATGATAGCCTGTTTCAAGGGCATTATATTTCAATGAATTCTGATTTTCCCTTATCTATATCATACCAAATTTATTTTTTTCGTCGGGATTGAATTTCGTGGATTTTTGTTATCCAGGACATAAACGAAATTTAATGTCCCATGAAATTTGATGATTTTACAGTATTTAAGTTTTTGTTTTGAAAAGGAATTAGATATAGTACAAATTAAAGTTAAAACGCATTTCTTCTTTGTCGGATTTATAAAAAAAAAAACATCATTAGAGGAAGCAGGTGCACATATAAACACATTACATATTTTGAAAGTGTGAAAAACTATCCTTGCTTACGGTATAAGCGTCCCCGTACGCCCTTTACCAGGTAAGTCGTTCGGAATATCAATGGGAATGAGTTTATTTAAAGCTTTAACATGCTCTTCTATTTGCATTAATGTATATACATTTGCTATAAATGTGTTGATCTATTGCATGTAGAACTGACGATTAATTTCTCCTATATTTCGGTATTTTAAAACATGCATTTCTTAGTGTAAAAGATCAACAACAGATACATATACTATTTATAGCATCATATCATGTTATATAAAGCATTCTGAAACAGTTTTGAAATGCCTCAAGATTGGTTGTAGGCAATTCAGTGGGTCATAATATGTTTATGTAGTATATACGACCTACATACTCGATCCGACTTTGCATTGTTTTGACATTTAAATTCAATCTGATATCCATAAATATGGATTTTACCTTTTCATTTGCCAAATGAGGCATATATATAACGTAGAGCTTGCTACCTTGATGTAAGCTTTTGGAGCACGCTCTCCTTATGTTAGCTCTACTTAGTTTAGACCAATTCATATATATATAGCATCCTTTTGGCCCCTAGCAGTACCGTTATTGAAGCATGGAATGACGAAACAGATGTATGGTACAGTGGTAATGCAATTTTGGCATGAAGTATATATATTACCATGTTTTATGTATTATCATTTTTTATATATTATCATTATATTACCATGTTTTGCATATTACCATGTTTTATATATTACCATGTTTTATATATTATCATTATATTACCATGTTTTAAATATTACCATGTTTAATATATTACCATGTTTTATATATTACCATGTTTTGTATATCATCATGTTTTATATATTACCATGTTTTATATATTACCATGTTTTATATATTACCATGTTTTGTATATTATCATGTTTTATATATGACCATGTTTTATATATTACCATGTTTTATATCTTATCATTATATTACCATGTTTTATATATTAGCATGTTTTGTATATTATCATGTTTTATATATTACCATGTTTTATATATTATCATGTTTTATATATTACCATGTTTTATATATTACCATGTTTTGTATATCATCATGTTTTATATATTACCTTGTTTTATATATTACCATGTTTGGTATATCATCATGTTTTATATATTACCATGTTTTATATATTACCATGTTTTATATATTACCTTGTTTTGTATATCATCTTGTTTTATATATTACCTTGTTTTATATATTACCATGTTTTGTATATCATCATGTTTTATATATTACCATGTTTTATATATTATCATGTTTTATATATTACCATGTTTTATATATTACCATGTTTTATATATTACCATGTTTTATATATTATCATGTTTTATGTATTACCATGTTTTATATATTACCATGTTTTATATATTACCATGTTTTAAAGATGCGATCACAAGTTTCTGTGTCCTGCTTTCATATATCACGAGTCCAAACTAAGTCCTAATCTATCTGAATGTTTGGGGTTACACACACACACACACATATATATAACAGGTACATTAAGGCAAGACTTTAATAAACCATACATATAACTTACCTCGATCTTTATAAACCAGGCTAGTTTTTTGAAATATTAAGCCATATATTTCCTACTTAACATTCTTTGGCAGGGTACAACACGTTCGAAGCGTGATTGGTTGGATTTCATAGCGAGATATAGATTAGGATACCGATTTATCAATATTTCCTTTTGCATTTGTCAGAAAATTGAGTAGTCAATACAGGGGGCGTTATGAGACGGACATGATAATATACATTGCCTAATAAATATATAATGTGTGGTAAAGCTGCATAAGGTAATCATGTCTCATGTTTGTTTTAGATAAATATTACATCATGGGAATATATATGTTCCATGATGTATATTTTCATTTCATACCTCTCGATACTAGGACTGGACAAAAAATCCAAACAATCACGAGAATGGTGGTCAGAAAATGAAATAAATGGTTTTCGTGCTGGTCAGTCACTAAAGGGGATAAAATGAAGAAAGTCATCCAGCGCTCCATTTCTATAAAATAAATCACAGCGTTAACACATGGACGAAACTAAAGTGGTGTTTCAATTTCAATTAATGGAAGAACATGCTCTGTAGAACAATGTGAAGACATTACTAAGTTGTGGTTATTCGACCATACCTATTCAACTAAATCTAACTTAAAATGTCTGCAGCAATTTACTAATTTCTTATTTACCTCTAACCTTAGTTCAAAGGACTATCAAACTAGCTTAAATGTAATGAAATCTCAGAAAAGGATTCATAATCTGCTCTCAGATGAAGCGAGACGTTCTCCTCTCATAAACTGCTAATGATCAGAATATTTTGTGCGATTATATAGGTTGAATATTAGGTTGATGAATCCGTGGGTAACAGGAACGTAGGACTTTATATATACAATGTACGTAATTATGAAGTAGTTTTAGTACATGTGTTCTAAACATACACCTTCCAGTTAGGATTTAATTACTGAACAAAACAAATATTTCCAGTTAGTCAATAAATTCAAAACAATGGGTGGAACTTCGGTGAGTATATATCATGGTATTCGCATACCTTGATAAAAAAAATGCTGTTCCTATATTATTTTTATTTTATTTTTATATATTTTAACTTTTTTTCTTTTCTTTTTTTACTCTTTTCACAGTACCTACTAGTGAAGATGGTGTTGATTTGACTCGCTTGGAAGAACTGTTACAAGAGAACAGGGCAAAAGCCGGAGACAAGGCGACATGGAAGAGTCCTTTCTGGACAATGCTGTATACAATGACAGTTTACGGCAATCCTACAGGCCAATGTTCCTCTCCAGGTAAATAAATAATCACAAACTGCTTTTATGTAATTCAAATCTAATATTTCGCCTGGTTTCCCTGCGGTGTACTACGGTTCACCCATAACTTGTTATAATGAACTATTCCAACCTTTGAATTGGAAGAGTTTAAATATGTCTTCAGGGGAGAATGAGTTAACAGTCTGACAACACTGTATCATGGATGACTACAGTACCAATATGAATATCGGTTTGATAAGAAAAAATCGTTATCCATAAATGTAAATGCCATAGAAATAGCCTTGAACTCGATAGAACTTATACCAATATATACTGTTGAATTATTCATTGTCAATGATATACTTATATAATTAATTCAATTCAAAATGAATAATTCAACGGTAAGGATAAAAAACACCTGATGCATTTATATATTACGTAGTAGAATAAGGGGATGTCAGATAACACTGTTGGGAAATATATATGATTATGATGTTTTTGGTAAGTCTAAATGACCAATAGTATTGTCACATAAAGATGAGTAAACTCTAGCTGTACNGAAAAAAAAAAAAAAAAAAAAAAAAAAAAAAAAAAAAGTGTAGCAACGGAGAAAGATCAAAAGTGTAGTATATGGTGCAGTAAATCTATTATAGTGCTGTTGCCATTACACTTAATGGTGAACGTTTAGCAGGGAATAACAACTATCATTTAAAAGGACTTTGGTATGTCCCGGCCTGGGGGCAATGACAACAATGGTTCACCTGTTGTCAGTATGCTGTGAATGGGTGCTGGGTGCCTTCGGCATGGTGTTTCAGTGAGATAGTACTCTGAAGTCAGCATCAGATCCGCGCTATCACAAGGAGGCAAATACACCAACATACCATGTCTCCGGCATGCCATAGCAACCACACAGAGGCTTCTGATTGGTCGAAATTCAGATATTGTTCGATTCTACTCTTTAGTATGTAGATGTTTTATGGCATTGCGATCCTTTTCTGATGCATCTTTGCGACTATGGGGGCAGTTTGGGGGACTACAATTACTACTTATCCTAAATTTATGTTGATTAAAGTGCCGGGAATGTTTTAAATAATGTTGATAAATAATAATTTTAAGAACTATTTTTCCGGGTACATTCGTAGTATTAGTGCTCAGGCAATGTATGCATACCTTGCAAAAACTACCACAATTATTGCACAATAAATATTGGAACATTAAGTGGAAACAAAAAAGCGAAAAAAGTGTATATAAGAACATGGCAAATGACGATAAGATTTTTCTTAAAGTAAATCCGTTTTTGAAGGACTTACACTCTAGTTTAAATGTATTTTAGAGAGTGCTCTATATTATAAGGGGTATTTTTTATATACAGATTGTTATACTTATATTGATTAAACGTCAGACTCTTGTGGCTCTAACAATGAGTCTGCTCATAGAACGGACATAGAAGAGAATATATATATTGTGGCTCTACCAATGAGCCTGATCATAGAACGGACATAGAAGGGTATATATAATGTAGATCTACACATGAGCCTGATCATAGAACGGACATAGAAGAGTATATATATTGTGGCTCTACCAATGAGCCTGATCATAGAACGGACATAGAAAGGTATATATAATGTAGATCTACACATGAGCCTGCTCATAGAACGGACATAGAAGGGTATATATATTGCGGCTCTACCAATGAGTCTGCTCATAGAACGGACATAGGAGAGAATATATATATTGTGGCTCTACCAATGAGCCTGACCATAGAACGGACATAGAAGAGTATATATATTGTGGCTCTTCCAATGAGCCTGATCATAGAACGGACATAGAAGGGTATATATAGTGTAGATCTACACATGAGCCTGCTCATAAAACGGACATAGAAGGGTATATGTATTGCGGCTATACCAATGAGCCTGCTCATAGAACGGACATAGTAGGGTATATATATTGTGGCTCTACCAATGAGCCTGCTCATAGAACGGGCATAGAAGGGTTTATATATTGTGGCTCTACCTATGAGCCTGCTCATAGAACGGACATAGAAGGGTATATATATATTGTGGCTATATCAATGAGCCTGCTCATATTGTGGCTATATCAATGAACCTGCTCATATGACGGACATAGAAGGGTATATATACTGTAGCTCTACCAATGAGCCTCCTCATAGAGCGGACATAGAAGGGTATATATAGTGTGACTCTACAAATGAGCCTGCTCATATAACGGACACAGAAGGGTATATATATTATGGCTCTACCAATGAGCCTGCTCATAGAGCGGACATAGAAGGGTATATATAGTGTGGCTCTACCAATGAGCCTGCTCATATAACGGACAAAGAAGGGTATATATATTATGGCTCTACTAATGAGCCTGCTCATAGAACGGGCATAGTAGGGTATATATATTGTGGCTCTACCAATGAGCCTGCTCATAGAACGGGCATAGAAGGGTATATATATTGTGGCTCTACCTATGAGCCTGCTCATAGAACGGACATAGAAGGGTATATATATATTGTGGCTATATCAATGAGCCTGCTCATATGACGGACATAGAAGGGTAAATATATTGTGGCTATATCAATGAACCTGCTCATATGACGGACATAGAAGGGTATATATATTGTGGCTATATCAATGAGCCTGCTCATATGACGGGCATAGAAGGGTATATATATTGAGTCTCTACCAATAAGCCTGCTCATAGAACGGACATAGAAGGGTATCTATATTGTGGCTCTACCAATGAGCCTGATAATAGAACGGACATAGAGGGGTATACATAGTGTGGCTCTACCAATGAGCCTGCTCATAGAACGGACATAGAAGGGTATATATATTGTAGATCTACACATGAGCCTGCTCATAGAACGGACATAGAAGGGTGTATATATTATTGATCTACCAATAGGCCTGCTCATAGAACGGACATAGAAGGGTATATATATTATGACTCTACCAATGAGCCTGCTCATAGAGCGGACATAGAAGGGTTTATATACTGTAGCTCTACCAATGAGCCTGCTCATAGAGCGGACATAGAAGGGTATATATACTGTGGTTCTACCAATGAGTCTGCTCATAGAGCGGACATAGAAGGATAAAAATATCTATTTGAACTTTACATTATATATATTCATAATATTAAAACACGTCAGCAGCCGTATGCGTACCGGTACAAACATTAATTCAGTTGTACAAAATTAGTATACGTTTGTTAAATGCGTTTTGCTTGAATTGATGTATGCAGTATTATCATAGATGTAATATCATCAGAATGGCCAATGATTTTTGTCAAGCTTGCGATGCATGATAACTGTACGAGATCAAACATATATATATATCAATATATTAAATTATAATAATGATGATGATTAATCATAAGTCAGTAAGTCAAAAACTATATAAATATAAACTTTAGTTATTTTACGATTCCGAAACAAGTTTGTACAACTTATACTTATCACTCATTGGTCCGAATGTTCGCGCGCGGGAGTCTTGCTGTCGGAGGAAACCGGAGCAATCGGAGAAAACCTACGTGATCGGAAAGGTGACCCAATACATGTACACGTCTCATAGGGGAATCGAACCCCGGCCGCCTTGATGAAAGGCAAGTTTGTTATCCACTGCGCCACCCGAACACCCTGTCACTAACGGAAATATGTCGACGGACTTTTAACTTTGGCTTCGGTTCCTGAGAAAACAGGGCTCTCGTTGCTACGTGAAGGTGGACGAGGCATTTAATGGTGCATCTTATTATTTCAGAACAATGTAGGAAACTGATAAACCTAGCACGGAAATATGACGTGCTTCTGTTCTCGGATGACGTATATAACCTGTTCCACTTTGGGAAAGGTAAACAACCAGCACGTCTGCTCGCCTATGACAAAAGGTAAGAATTTTATAAACGTTTTCTCATATGATTTTCATTTCATGAAATGGCTGTACCAGTGTTATAATATCAGCGACATGTATTATATGATATAAAATGTACCAATTATACCTCCGAGATTAACGGTGATTTGACATGGTTAGTGAATTACATGAAAGCCGGTTTGAGCAGAGAATCCATGCTTGAGCATGAGAACGGTTGAATAACAAATATATTTTGTCGATGATACGTAAGAAAATTTGAGAGACTTTAAGCTGAATATTGTTTTTAGTGTTTATGATTAAAGCAGGTTACAAGAAAATCGACTTGAGCACAGACGTCATGCTTGAGCATGAGAACGGTTTTATGAATACGGGCCCAGGCCTTTGTGAGACTCCTGATCTGCATTCATTTCGTTAGCGCTCAGCATTCAGTTTGTCTGCGACACATATGGCATGGCAGTTATGCCAGTTTGTTTGCAACATATATGCAGTTTATTGCTTAATTAATGTCTTTTCAATGACGCTGTGCTATGTTTTGTCCATTTCATTCACTGTTATATATGAAAGGTTCTTTTTATACAACCAATAACATTTTCTATGTGACGTTTCGATGACTAGTACGATATGTACACTGTCACCTCCATCAAACAAATGACCAGTGAAGCGTATGCACACAAAGGTGTAAAATGTGTACGAGTTGTCCACAAATTCGATGTCGATTTCGGCTACGCTGTAAAAATATGTACAATAGTTGTTATATATGTACCGAAATGATTCGATTCAGCTACGCTTCACTGGCCATTTGTCTGAGGAAGGTGACAGTGTACATATTGTACTAGTCATCTAAACGGCACATAGAAAATTGTGTTGGTTGTGTAAAAAGAACTTTTCATAATCCATACTTTACCAACCTGAAGAAAATGTTTAAAAATGAATGTTGTTCATTTTTCAGTGACGATCCTAATTACATCGGTTGTGTCCTTTCCAACGGAACGTTCTCAAAGATATTTGCTCCCGGAATCCGACTTGGCTGGATGGAGGGTCACAAAGAAATGGTGGATCTACTTGCGTGTTGGTAGGTTGGTAGTAACGTTTGATAATTTTGTAAATGCAATTTTGAAATCGTTTTCTGTCTAATTTCTGTCAATCATTATATGTTTCAAATAAAAAAAATTAAGAGCATATATTTTTTGTTCTTTTAAACGGCATTTTTTAACCGCTAATAATTTGGTCAATATATAAGGTAAAAACTCGGAATTTTTGATGTACAAACAATTTTTCTCTATCAAAGTATTTGCAATATGGAAAGTTTAATTCAGTTAATAGTTGTGGTTTAAATATAAACACACACAAAAATGCGCTAATCACTTATTAAGCTAATCACCTTTTCAACAACTGGGCCCTGGTTGTTTCTCTTAATCAAACGTAACTTATCGATGTCTAATTTGACAGCTACACTTCATACTGCACCGGAAGCTTTAACCATTACATGTCCCTCGTGATGTCTGCCGCCATACAGCTGGGTCTCATGACCACACACCTTAACCGAATCCGTGGTGTATATAAGGTATGATATAGTTGGAACTTAAAAGTAATATTCTACTAACTAAAAGTCATTGGAGTCTAATCAGTGCTGGAGTAGATCGAAAATGCGTCAGCATAAAAAACATCCATAATTCATCCTTTTGATATCAAAAACTAAGTTTGTTTTCAACACAAACAGGAAGTGAAAGCTACGAGCTGTCGAGTTTTTTCAAGGTAAGAGCGTAAATGGTCGATGTCTCGACTCTAAACCACTGAAAACAACTCACTAAGCCACAGTGTGCCAACTCAGTATAGTTTAACTGTCAAAATTATAGAGACATTTCGCATTTTATATGGCGAATCGTTTGGATTATAGCTAGCTCGTCCGTGTGAAAATGGCGCCTGCAGATGCCCGTATCTGTGCCGTGGGGGCGGATATCGGGCGGGCGCCGGCCTAATATCCCACGGACACCGCACAGTTTGAGGATATCTGGCGGCTAACTTACGATAGCCGTACGGCACCCGTCCGGACATCGGACGGTATACTGGATACCAGGAAGCATGTAAAATTGTACAAAATCCCAAGGTGAGCATACGATGCCACCGGGAGCAGTAAGATAATCTTATGAAATCCTTGCGGGACACTTACGGGAGACTGCCGGGTTTATATATACGTAGGTTCCGATGAGTTTGGGTCAGAAAAAAATCAGCGGGACACCGGCAACTTTTATCTCCGCGCTGAAATGCCCGGCGACCCGACTGAAAATCAATCTCCCGGCGTCCTTACGGTTAACCCGGCTTGCCAGTCAATTTTGTCCAAAATACTCTTCGCTCGGACACCTTTTCGGAAATCGACACAAATGTGACTGAAGCATAACGAAGCCATACCGGAAAACTACCGTTGAAGTCCCGTTGATCGCTCCGGTAGCGCAACGGAGGAGTTTCAACAATTCTGCCGTCGCCTGCCGTCGCTCATGTTTTCGCCGATGTTCTGACGATGTACTTTTGTTCTTAGCGATGCGATACCGTTGCGCTGTAGTTCTAGTACCGTTCCCCGAAAATTGCCATTTGTGCTCCGGTATAGCTCCGGCGACCCAAATCGGCTAACTGTGACTGGCCCTTAAACTTGTTACCTGCCCGGGTGAAATGTCTCTTTGATTATTGACAGCTGACTTTACTGATTCGGCACACTGTGGCTTAGTGGGTTATTTTCAGAGGTTTAGAGTCGAGACATCGGTCATTTACGCTCTTTGCTTGACAAAGGAAACGGACGCTTTCGAAAGCTTGCAGAATAAGTGCTTAATTCCTGTTTTTGTTCAAAACAAACTTTGTCTTTATTTTCATACCAAACTGATGAAGCTTATTCCGTCTCTTTGTTGATATGTTTCAGACAAGGATGGGACTAATGTGCGACGCCCTGCAAAAGTATCTCCCGACTGGCTTTACATTTAACCGGCCGCAGGTTTGTACTTTGATCAGATGTGTACAATACATTGATATAATTAATTGTTTCCGTGCACGTTCCATGCATGGAAAGTCCATTTATACAAGCGAATAGGTTTGCTCATTAAATGTAGCACATGTTCAAAATTCACAGATATCCAGGACCAGTGGCGTAGCATACATGTATGCTTGTATACTGAAGCTTAAACTAAAATAACCAAGATTTTTTAGTCATATATTTTGATTGATTTCTCTTTTTTTATGATTAATATGGACAGTCCATATGAATCACAAAAAGGAATATATATCAAAAAATCTTCTTGAAATATATTCGTTATGACATCTCGAATGTTTATGTAAATCAAAAACTACTAAGTGAAGTACACAATTTAAAATTATTTATATAAAAAGTCGGGGTTGAATTGTAAATAATCAGACTAAAAGGAGTTCCTAGAAGACGGGAGATTGCCTTTATGATCTAGTTGATTTTTTCCCCACCTATGGTAGGGGGAAGCTACACAATTTAGAAGAAAAATAACAAATGGACGACGCTTTTTTTTGATTTCCACTGTATATTCTTAACGTTATCTCTGACGAAAAACGTGTTATGATATTTAAATCATATATGCAGCATACTGAAATATATGTAAGGTTTTTTCATATGTGTATTCCATTGAATAACACAAATTTTTATTGTACCATGGGTCATAACAAAAGTATCCCAAATAACCAACAAAAAGCGATATCCCAAACATATTTTGCAGTTTCCTATCATGAAATGGTGAATGTGTGCATACCTACCCATGCTCATTTCACTAGAACATACCAGGTATTTTCAGAAAACTGTGTCAGAAAAAGGAGAGGCGAACGACTTTCCAGTAGAATAGGAATTATTCATAAAGAAAGTAAACAAATGAGAAGAAATGGAAGGAAAAAGAAAAAGATGAAGAAGAACAAAAAACGGTTTAAAATCACAAGTCCGAAAATTTGTTAATAACTGTAACGTGCGTACGGTCGCCAATCCGACTACTGACCACGCTCGACGTTGTAGAACTAGTGAGCGGGTCCCGGGGTTATACCACATCGGCAGTATTTTACCCTCATGTTCCTTAGCTGTTCCATAATTATATGTTTCTGTTACAGGGTGGCTTTTTCATATGGGTAACCATGCCAGAGACTATGGACGCAAAGGTCTTACAGAAGTTTGCCAAGAAATTCAATGTCGTCTATATAGACGGAGAAAGGTAAGTTCTTAACGTGTAGTCGGCTTACTTAAGGATCACTGTCTCACTGTAGGCAACACACAGAGATTACACTGTTGTTTTTTGTATACAGTGAACAACTTATATGGACGTGATCTAAGGTGTTCAGAGTAATTTTACACGTTTTAGATGTTTAGATCAAATTTTAGTAAAACAATGCCACTCCCAATGATAATATTCCCGTGTTTAAGTCAAAATATAGCTGAAACAAATTCTCAAGTCCCTAGCTGTGGTTGCAACAATAGAGAATAATAGCGTGCTCGGATGGATTTCATACGACCATATTTAACTTTTGATATAACAGTGGTGCCACATTAAAGTGACCAATCTGAGTGGTTGCATCATCCGTAGGCAGTGTCTTCAGGTTACCTGTAAGCTATTTTGAAGAAGTAACACCAGAAACAAAGAAGTAAATCTTGAATATCTGAACGTAGTCTACATATATATATATATAACAAATAAAAAGCCCATCTGGTTTTACCTACATTTTCGCAGTTAGTTCCTCTATAAGCAATACCAGACGATCCATAGAGCTATGAATGCAATTTGATCAGTGTCAGTTTGAAGCTTCTCCTCCCGACTCGAATATCATGAGACACAACTGCTAAAAGGAAACATTTTGATGACGTAAGGCTGTTCCTGGAATCTCGTTTGCACTGACGACAAAGAAAATGCAATACCGAAAATATAGGGGAATACCTACATTTAGGTAACTAACTAAAGATAACTAAACATCTAGAATGTAAATATAAGCATTGAACGACATTTTTTCAATGTTCATCCCAGCATGAAAATTAAAAAATGCCGTTTAATCCTTTTTTGCTACCAGCTTTGCGTGGAGGTTTGCTTTGTCTTTCGTTTCATTTTACTGACTTCCTATCGACTTTGCGCTAGGATATAGACCTTGTTTATAGACGCTAACATCTGTTTTATACTTAACTTGAAGTATTGGATACAAAATGTTCTTTCTGTCTGTGTGATTAAAACACGGACTTTGTTTATATTTCAGTACCTCCCCAACGTGTAGCTTCAGGAATTGTATCCGCTTAACGATAAGTTTCTGTGATACCGACCAGATCGAAGAAGGAACCCAAAGACTTGCGAAAGCAATACAGGCCTACAGGAATTCGTTGGATGAGCCGACCCCAACACAATAAAATCTCGACACCATGTCCCACGATTTATTTGCCTTTCGCTTACTGCGAACATGTTTAAATCCTTTCATTTTCTGCTTGGGAAGTCCTTCTTACGTCTTCCTATTCACACTTACAAACAATGGCAGATAACGAGGTATAAGTGTACTACATCACGAAGTTAAACTGGCCATCGCTTGTCTTAATTTTGTTTGCCGTATCCAAGGACTTTGTGCTCTATTTTATACAAAAGCCTGTGGATTTAATGTTGAGGACAGTCTAGAAAGTGTAACCATTGCGAATCCCTGTGGGAGACAAACATTTGCGAGATATGGTTTTTGTTTACAATTATTTGCATGTCAAAGATAACTGTCGACTAAGGATTATGTGGTTCCGGGTTAAAGCGGGAAAGCCAAGCAATGTTTGCTTTGATAAGTGACTATAACAATTCTTGTTATCAGTGAATATTTGGGAGTAATTGAATTTCCGCTAATGCTCCAGCTCAATATTTTGAGGTTATACCGTTTAATCTAAAACAAAGGCATCACATAAAGTGATGACGTGGTAGACTACAATGTTTCCCGCGGCATTTTTAATTCTAACTTCTGATTAGTTGATGTTTGCACGACGATGAAATTATAGCGCGTTGTTGTGCTTTGCGCAAAAATGCTTCTCATTTTTTTTATATCAGAAATGATTAAGTATTCATTAACTATGAACTAAAAATTCTGTCTTTTTAAAATTCTTCAAATAGAACAGACACATTCCTTGAAGGATCAATAGTATCCAACAATACTTTACTATTATGATGCAAAAGTAATTACTTATATGACGTCAAAAACGGATTTGAACGCCAACTAAACTTTTTTATTTTTTTTTATTTTTTTTTATTTAAACATATTTATTGCCCAAAATTTGGGCAGAGGATTAGGCACCAGTAATATCAACTTAGCATACACCCTTTCCTCTAATACAGTGCATATTGATATACATGATAGCATTTATATCATACAATTATTATATTTTACTCAAAACTTGCTGCTGGATTTGATGAAAAGTTGCACGTGTCTGAATACTTTTGAATTGGTATCTACGGACAGATTTGCATTGTCAAATACAAATAAAACTACATTATCTGGATATATATATTCAACAAGCTTATATTTTGAGATAGCATTATTCGTGCTGTATTGAAAAGCTTACATTTTCTAAGAAAAAATTGACAACATCCTCAGTGGAAGGTCCACACGCGCATCAGGGATTATCAACTTCAAAGAGCTGCACTGATTCCTGAGTTTCGTATGTAATATATTTAAATTGCGTTCGCAAAAATTATAATAAGATGGTGGAGATGAATTTGCACCCCTAGATATAGAAGATTTAAAAGTACTTAAAGATGGTAATGTTCTTATAGTATTATCTACCGAATTCCAAAGACGTCAACTCGATGGCAAAAAAGAGGAGTTGCTTGAGGAGGGTCTGAAGGAAAGAGTATTATAATCATATTGGTTCCGTCCATTATTGTTTCTAATTTTTATAAATGACATCGTCGAAGATATTAATTGTATTATGAAGTTGTTTACTGACGATACGTCTCTATACGTTATAGTGGATTTGCCGGATCTGAGCGCCAATCTCTTGAATGATAATATAAACAAAATTCATGAATGGTCATAAACATGGCTTGTCGATTTCAATCCTAGTAGGACAACTAATTGCCAATGACAGTAAGTAGAAAAATTGACAAACCACTTCATCCCCCTTTGTCTACATACAACAACCCACTAACAGTGGTAACATGCCACAAACACCTTCGTGTCTTTATTTTGTCTAATGGAGGGTGGACTGATCATGTTCAGTATACAATTAACAAAGCTTAAACAAAAATAGGCCTTTTAAGAAAACTGAAATTTTCCATTGACAGAAAAACGCTTCAAACTATTTATTTGACTTTTATTCGACCTTTGTTAGAATATGGTGACGTGATATGGGACAATATAACGATAGGCCAAAGCAAACTGCTAGAAAATATTCAACTCGAAGCAGCCAGGATTGTAACTGGGGCCACTAAATTAACTAGTCCTGAGTGATTGTATTTAGAAAGTGGTTGGGACCCTCTTATTGAAAGAAGACGAAAACACAAAATAACACAACTTCATAAGATTGTTCATGGTCAGTGCCCCTCCTATGTAACTAACATACTCCCCGCTCGTCATTCTGACATTCATTCTCACGATACTCGAAACGCGATAACATTCTGTCATATAAGATGTCGTACTAAACTATAAAGATTATTTTTTACCTTCCTCAGTTGACTTATGAAATACTCTTCCGGACGACGTTAAGCATAACCTATCACTCATCACTAACCTTAAGAAGTCCGTGACGTCAACTATCACAATAATCGTGTTCCATCCTATTAGTATTACTACAGAAGTAGATTTGGCCAAATTCACCCTGCTCGACTAAGATGAACTGTAGTTCCCTTAATAGTCACTTGTTTTTACGTAACTTAGTTGAAAGTCCCATGTGTTCTTGTAACCGTTCTGCTGATTCTACTGAACACTTTCTCCTCTTTTGTCCTAACTTCGAACAATTAAGATTAAAAAGTTTTAGAGATCGTTCCCCTGAGTATAATTTTAAATCTGCTGCTGTATGGAAATCCTGATATGCGTGATCAATATAACTTAAATATTGTTGACTCTTTGCAACAGTTTATCTGCAAGTCGAAACGATTTAAGTGCAAGATTTAATCATTTTATTTTATTTTTTATGTAATTATAGCGTTTGTTTAAACAATGTACATAAACTTTGAAACCTATGTTGTTCGTCAACACTTGTGACACGTCAGTATGCTATTTTGATCTAATGAGTCTTGTTGATACTGAAATTGATATAGACTACAACACTCTTGTATTTTACAGGATATCAGTATAGTTTTTGATTGGAGCCAACGTAAGGCAATTTAAATGTAATTTAGAGATTTCCAAAGTATTTAATGCATCCTTATATAGAGCTCATTAGGGTTACCTTTTCATGAATCACATTCCAACCAGATTCAATCAAGTAATGCAGTTCTTCTTGTTATTCTCTTCGTAACCAGTTTCTTTCATTTCCTGATGCACCCCTTCCGCCCTCCACTCCCTGATTTCTTCTTCTTCTCTTTGTCTCTCTTTCTCTTCTTATATGTAACAGTGCCGTCCTACTGCCAGGTTTATTAATAAGGAGACGAATTGGTACTTATGTACTTGTTTTCGAATCCTCTTTGATGATTTTTGTATTATTTTGTCACTGCCATATATTGATTAAAAATACTGTTTAAACTCAATTGTACCGATTGTTGTTACCCACTGTGTTTGGCAAAAGGGCCGATAAATAGCTGGGAGTTAAATTGGTTTTCATTATATATAAAATATTCAACTTTCGCCTTTTTCTCCTATAATGTTTCTAAACCCGTTTCAAAATATAATGAATCATTACTTGCATAAGAAGGCAACCCTGTTATAACTGGAGCCGCCTCTCTTGGTGCTTTCTCTAATTTCTCAGATTCAAAAGCGGTGCAACCATCCCATAATTCACAGGCATATTCAAAAACTGGTAAAATGAAAGATTTATATATTTTTAAAAGTGAATCTCTTTTCAACAAATATTTGAGTTTTCGTAAAACAATTATCTTTTTCATTAAAGGAAGATTTATATAGGGAAATTCCCATGAAATGGGGGGCTAAAGATTTGTTCTCCATCCGTCTTATTTCGAAACAAGAGGCCCATGGGCTTTAACGCTCACCTGATATATTTATACAGAGAGTTGATTTTGTTTTTAACACGAACAGAAATATTAATCAAAGTGACAAAAAACAATAAAACCACCTTATTCAATATCTAGCATACAGATTTAAGACTAAAAAGGATTTGAAACTAGCACCTCTGATTCTAAACAAGGAAAATGAAGAAATTTTAGCACACTGACTCCTTTGGGCCCCACCCTAAATCCCTTGGGGGAAGGGCTGGCTCAAAAGTTTCTTAGTATCAAACTGTCAACTCAGGGTTATAATTCCAATCAAGTTATTAACATGTAATATTCAAAGTATCATTTGCCATTATAAACCATAATAAATGTTGCCCCCCCCCCCCCTTCCTTCCCCAGGGGGTAAACGTGAGACCCTAGTGTCATAAACCTTAAGACCCTTCTATCTATGAAGAGTGTTTGATTCTACCATATCTGGGTCTTTGAGAAGAAGATTTTAGAAAATTCAGTCAATTCAACCCTTTTTGGCCCCACCCATCAGCTCTGGGGGGTCAGTCAGGGCTGATATGTGCATACCATCAAACTGCTATCCAATACTGATAATGCTAACCCCAATTGAATTACTTCCAATGGAAATTAAACAAATGTTGGTCCAAAATGTGATTTCCCTATATAAACTAAAGTAAAGTTTTCCCCCTCCCCAGGGGGAAACGTGAGACCACAGAGTCAAGAAATTCACAATGTTGGTAAAGCACCTTAAGACCCTTTCATCTATGAAGAGTATTTGATTCTACCATATCTGGGTCTTGAGAAAAAGATTTTTGAAATTTTAGTCAATTTGACCCTTTTTGGCCCCGCCCCTCAGGCCCCTAGGGGCTGGGGACCAAACCGGCCATTACTTTTGTTGACCTTTGGCCATGGAAGGTTTCTGCAAAATTTCATTGAAATTGGCTCAGGGGTTTTGGAGAAGAAGTCAAAAATGTAAATTGTTTACGGACGCACGACGGACGACGACGGACAAAAGGCGATCGCAATAGGTCACTTGAGACTTTGTATCAGGTGACCTAAAAACTTTGTCCTATCTTCTACATTTGATATGCAAGTGCATCTTGGGATGGCGGCGTCCTATCTTCTACATTTGATATGCAAGTGCATCTTGGGATGGCGGCATGCAGATTACGAGAAGTAGGTCCCTGAGCCTATGCTTTGACCTTTGACCTTAATTTTTGAAAAATGTTCTCCGTTGCACATCTACTATACCATTGCACCTGAAGTAACCAAATTTTGAAAAAAATCAGTGATTTACAACCCTCCTTACTATTTGTATTCAGAATAGTTTGTGATCATTTCAACAATGATATTTTTTTTATCTTTAGTTTCTTTTTTTCCAATTGCAAATATTTTGCATTTCAAGTATTATCAATTATTTCAAAAAAAAAAATAGGTAAAAACAGAGCAATCTAACAAGAGGCCCAATGGGCCTGCATCGCTCACCTGGTATAAATCTCACAAATGTAACCTTAAAAGTGGACTAAAATAAAGCTACAGGCAAAATATCAGTGTCTTGACTTCAGAAGAACCTGTTAAACGATTAAAACACATTTGACCCCTGTGACCTTGAAAGTCAAACATGGACATTTAAAGTTGAACAAACTTCATAGCCCTTCCTACCAGAATGCAACTTGCCAAATATGAGAAGATGACTTTTAAAGATTTATGCACTATGGACCAGATGGGACCATGAAAGTGTGTCAAGGTCAATTCAGAAGAAGTCGTTTAAAGATTTCAACATATTTGACCCCTGTGACCTTGAATATGGGCAAATCCATTAATTTGAACAAACTTCGTAGCCCTTCATGCCAACATCCTTCTGGCCAAATATCATCACCCTGGACCTTTTGGTTATACAGAAGTTGATTAAAGGTTGTAAAGACAAAAGACCCCTGTGACCTTGAATATGAGTGAAGGTCATTTGTTTGAACAAACTTCGTAACCCTTACATCCTTCTGGCCAAACACCATCACTCTGGACCTTTTGGTTATACAGAAGAAGTCGTTTAAAGGATTTTAAGACAATTGACCCCTGTGACTTTGAGCATGGACGAAGGTCATTTATTTGAACAAACTTCGTAGCCCTTCATGCCAACATCCTTCCGGTCAAAAATCATCATCCTGGACCTTTTGATTATACAGAAGAAGTTGTTTAAAGGTTTTTAAGACGGTTGACCCCTTTGACCTTTAATATGAGTGAAGGTCATTTGTTTGAACAAACTTGGTAACCCTTTACTCAAGCATGCTACTGGCATAATATCAACACCCTAGACATTTTGGTTATTTAGAAGAAATTATTTAAAGATTTCAACATATTTGACCCCTGTGAACTTGAATATAGGGGAAGGTCATTCATTTGAACAAACTTGGTAGTGCTTCATCCCAGCATGTTAATGGCCAGATATCATCATCCTGTGCCTTCTGGTTATGCAGAAGAAGCTGTTTAAGTAAAAAGTTGATGACGGACGGACGATGGACGCCGCACCATGGCATAATCCGTAGGCTAAAAATGAAACAAGCATGGTGTATAAATAAGATTTAAAACTTTATTTGATTAAAGAGACAACTGTTTGTAATCAGGAATTCCTGTATATGATTTATATACAAAATAATCTTCCTCCAAGAAGATGTGTATTTAAAATCATCAACCATGACAAAAATGTCTTAAAATCACATAATGCACTAATAGAATCGTTCACTTCAGTTTGATGAGGACATAGAAATCTCAAAATGAAGTTAAGATTTTTGAAGTTAAGCACGAGGTTTTCCTGAGTGATAAACTGCAAAGGTCTTATCCGGAGGTTAGAACTTTCTCTGTATGCATCACACAATAGTGATTGATTGTATTTCTCCCACACGTTCGTACCATAAAAATTATATCATTATGCTTAATCCAATGCCCTGTGTCATCATCAAGGATGTGTGACGAACTTGGTGATGCTACATTTTATCTGTATGGTTACCCTGCATCAAATGAGGACATTACAGGGATGTTTTTAACGCATTCACCCCTGCAGAAACATTTGAACTCTTCCTATTCAAAGGTTGGAATATTTTATTATGAAATTTCAGGGGTGAATGAGTTAAAAAGTACTAGAATACACACAGGCCAGCAAGGGCACTGCCATGTACATGAAATCAAGACAAAGTGCACAATCGTGTCAAATATAAAAAGAAAATAGACTTTTGGATGCCGAGATATAAAGGACTATACCCCCCACAGTCTATTTTTAGATAGTGACCTTGACCTTTGTTTTTTTAAAAACCCTATTGCACATGTATATTTCACAGTGTATCACCATGTCAAATCTCATAAAGACTAGTCTTTTGGATTCCAAAATTATCCCCAAAAGTGTGGACAGACAGACGGACAAACAGACACGGTGATTAATAAAGAGCACATGCATCTCCGATGTGGGGCCCTAATAATAAAGCATGTGAGCTGTCTGACCTAGTTAAGATAATATTGATTATTTTTGCAAAAAATGGTGAAGTGTGGGAGAAAAAATCATTAAGTCTGCATAGGTTTTCCTACAACAGGAAAAATATCACATATATATGTATAACATTATACAATATAAAAAATACATGAAAATGATACAAATATTGACCCTTTGACCAAGCACAAGCTGTTTTATTAATAAAAAGACAACTAAAAATACAGGAAATCCATAACTAAAGTACAGAGATAAAGAGTTATTGAATTTTAGTTATACATGGGCATATTTTATTGCACAAAAAAAATGTCCTTACTGTCACAGGTACCTTGTATGAATGTAAAAATTCAATAAAGTTGAATTGAATATTGAAATTCAATTTTATTGAATAAATCTGGTTTAACTAATAATACACTATAAGTTCTGCAAATTTTTTATCATATATATATATAAGATCTGGTTATTTTAAGTAATAGTTTATCAATCAATTGTATTGATTAATGTATATGCTTATTGTATTAATTGTATATCTATGTACTGTAAAGCTCTTTAGAGGGGCTTATGTTAGCTAGATAGGGCGCTATATCAAATGTTGTATATTATTATTATCATCAATACATCCTTATTGTATTGAGTGTAATTCTCCACAGACGTTCCATTTTCACTACATTCATGGAGCTGAAATATATATATGGCAAGCCTAAACCCCAAAGTTTCCTTTTGCTTCTTATACAGTTATAAACATAGGAACTGACCATTGACAGTTTGGCATAAAATTTTGGAAATTGGAAGGTGTACACAAGAAACTGAAGCGGTATATATGTACTGTATCACTGGGCCTAGTAGACTTTAATCATTCGCATGTTTTAAACAAAATGTTGATATATTCTATCTTGTATATGAATTATAAATCAATTGGTAAATCACAATATTTTGCTCTGTAATAAATTAATCGAGGATTTACATAAAAGAACATTGATTGTGAATTCAAATATTACTGTATAATTATAATTTAGACATAATTAAACAAGATCATGCAGTTATCTGTTTTTGCATATTTTTACAAATAAATAATTAAGAAATCAATGCCAAACATTTGTTTTAGAAAAAAAATACTAATTGCTTGTTTTTTTTAAGTTAAAACATTTGGATAGATTTTTCCAAGTTAAAATATATTCTGTTTTTTAAAAATTTAATCATGAGCAACTGCTTTCTGAGTTAGCTACATTTAACGTGTATTCCTTTATAGCCTTGCAGAGTCGTTCAACACCCGCGTCAATCTGATTCGTATCAGCAAAGCTGATAGACAGTCGAATACAGTTCTTAAAACTCCCAGTTGGCGAGGTGCTGCAAGAAAGGTAAAAGACATCATAAAAATAATTATGTTGGAGGTTGAATTATGCTTCAATAAAATGTATTTCCCAAAGTCAATATAATTAAAAAAGTTGAATGTGAAAGGATCAAATAAGATAATGTCCGTAAAAACAAACATGTATATACAATAGGGTTTAAACCTTCCACCACTGTAATGGACACATCCATATCAATGCCTGGTAGAGTCTACTAAAGTTACATAGGTATGAAAGGGTTAAGAAAAGTATAGTCTTTCAAATTCCAACAATGGGCTTTAAGATACTCTTTTTTTCTCTCTTAAATTTTATTTAATTTAATCATACAATTTTTTAAAATAGTGTTTTCCCTTTCTCCTTAATTACTCAACAACTATTTTGACCATATATATATATAAGGCCACATATTTATAGTGACTCTGCATATAAAATTTGGATTTACTTTAGTAAATGGCTATTTAAATCACAAAAAAAATATGGATGTTGTTTGTGAAGTTATTACTGATAAAATGGATTTAGCATTGTCATGAACAGTGTACAACATAACAGTAATGCAATGAGCTTTAATAATAATCATTAGAAATGAAAACATTTTCACCAGATTATGTTTTTAATGTACATACATTGAACAGGAAAGATAAAACCTTGCAAAAATTTAAGTTTAGACGTTATGGTTATACACAAACGATTCAGAAGGTGGGAAAGCGAGAAATATGCTGACCTTTGACCTGTGATGAAATTGACCTTGTGCTTGCCATTGGCTAGGCTCAGTAAGGCTTCTCCATCAACAGTGTCTGGTAATGTGATCCAGGCAAAGAAACCGCCCTGTAATGATAAAAGATGAAATCAAACTGATGAGCTTGTTTGATATTCTGCTAACCTATTTCATGAATTTTAAATCCTGCATACAAAAACACCAGATTGGACTAACGTAATTGACGCTCAAACCCTCTCAAGACACCACCTATATCAAGAGACCATCTAGCTGTGTTAATAAGGGACCACAAATACAACTATCTCCTGTTTTTATTCATATCTGATTTGTATATTTAAGATATATGCATTAAGGATACATGCTACCTTACACACAATACTGGTGATTTCAGAGTTATTTCCCATGACAATAATTTAAGGATTGACCTTCATTTTGACCACGTATACGGTAGTATGAACGCAGTTGACAAAGAACATATTCTATGGTGCGGGTTAGCACTCCATAAAGAATATGTTCGTTGCCAAACGCATTCATACTACTGTATACGCCTTCAAAATGAAGGTCAATCCTTATATTTACATTTTATATAATGTTAAAATGCTATACAAAGAATAAACAGTGAAAGCGGGTTGCTTCGATGGTAACTATGGTAGCCGTGGTTGCTAGGATAATACAGTTCCAGTGAATCTACATTGATATAAGAGTAAATTTAGAAAATATGCAGTGAATAACACTATTTTCATTCTTTTCTTTTTTTTAACAATTTTAATTAAGGAATATTAGTAGAGCAGGGAGAGAAGAAGGGATAGATGTAAATATACACATTAAAGTCAACTTTAATTACCAGAGTTTTATTAATGCAAGTATTGTTTGAAGATATTGAACATATCTTCTTAATTGGGAGCACTTTTGTAAATCAAACATATTAACAACAACACCATGAACTGGAAAGTACATGGGAGTGATTGAAAGCATACCTTTGGTTGTTTGAAATGACACCCTGCAGGCAGATATTTAAGCAGAGCTTGACATAGAAGATTCATTCTTTCCTGAAAAGTAAAAATTTAAAATAAACATGTATTGCAATGTTAGCAGGAATTGATAAGAACTCTATAGTAAATAATGACTGTCATTTTATTGTATTTCTTTTAATTGCCACATCAGCTGTTGTTTTCAACGACATAATTCTTGTTTGACGTTTTGATGTAGGTATTAAAACCATCTCATGTATCTACAAACATGGGTGTCGCTTTATTTATCCTAGATCTATTGCGTTTGGACAGCAGCTTATTTGCATTTTTTTGTCTATTTAATTTGTTTTATATTGTATCTGGCATGTACATATTTATTTTTAAATATGTTATTCCTGACTGTTTTCATAATGTTAACTTAACAGTTTCACTTATTAATATTAAAACTACATATAGTTTTTAATTTATAATTTAGTGTGCTTGGATGAGAAAATATGTTCTGTTTCTTTTCAACACATTTACATGTAAATATTGTTAACTGCGGCGTCTAATGACTTGTAACCAGTACAGAATGTAAAACTATTTTCTTACTACTCTGTTGACCAGCCCCTCAACAGAGTACGTTATTCATTGTATTCGTTAGAGGTGTAAAGATTCATCGGAGAATCGTATCATATCTTGATTGAGTGCTGATGCATCACGGCATTTGCCGATAGCATCATAATACTTTTTTAAAAGTTACGAGAGGTTACGCCCCTTTTAGAGTGGTTACTAACCAATTACATAAAATCAATTTTGGGGTGGATTTCCTTGTGTTCTATCAATTTTGCGGTGGATTTCCTCGTGTTCTATCAATTTTGGGGTGGATTTCCTCTTGTTCTATCAATTTTGGGGTGGATTTCCTCGTGTTCTATCAATTTTGGGGTGGATTTCCTCTTGTTCTATCAATTTTGGGGTGGATTTCCTCGTGTTCAATCAATTTTGCGGTGGATTTCCTCGTGTTCTATCAACTAAAAGAACTATTTCAAAAAAGCTATACAATTATGAGACGGATCATTTCAAAAACAAATTAATTCATCGTGGAATATAAACACTGAAGATTTGTTTCATTTCAAAGTTTGTTTCAAATCAAGTACACAGCAGCGACCAAAATATATCTGCTGCACCCATCACAAAATTTGGGATCTTTATCTTCTTTCTACGTCTAACTAACTTTTATTTCCTAGTGCCTTGCTTGGCAACACCTCACTTTTGGCTTTAATATTGAGCGTTTGCCCAGGTAAGGACGGCAATGGGTTCTGTCCCCAGGCCAGGACATACCAAAGTCCTTAAAAATGGTAGTTGTTATTCCCTGCTTAATGTTCAGCATTAAGGGTAATGGCAACAACTGGTTCACCCGTTGTCAGAATAATGTGACGGAAGGCTGTGCTGGGTGCATTTGGCATAGAATTTCAATGAGATAGCACTATAAAGTTGGCATCAGATCCGCGCTATCACAAGGAGGCAGGTACACCAACATACCCTGTCTCTGGCACACATACACACGTGCAGGCATGCATGCATACACAACACACATGGAGGCATGTCCTTAAATGACCTAAGCTGTTAACAGGACATAAAACTAAATAAAAACTAAAACCAAACCCTTTAATTATAACCTTGGCAGATGGCCATAGAAATCTAATCACGTATCTTATTAGATGAACCATGTTTTAAATATAAAATTAATATGCTAGGAGCTTCATGAAATACAATATCTCTTTTAAAGAGTCTTTTACTATAGACTGACATATGAATGATTATAATGACAATGCGATTACAATGTGACCTTACATAAGGATGGAGGGGGTGGGTTTATTGCAGAAAATCAAAAATATCCAATTTAAGTTTGTGGTTGTTTTTCTGAAGCAACACAATTAAAATAGTAAAATTTGAAAAAAAATAGCTTTGCAAATTCGTTGAAATTTCCGTTCAAAAAATTAGTAAAAGAGGAAAAGACAGTAGAATTTCTAAAATTAATATCTATGAATAACTTGTGAATACCCTGTATACGCTGCAGAGCTTGGTTAGGTGTTGGGACAGGAGTCCAGTCTGAAGGGCTGCTGACACCACACGGGACGTGTAGTGATTGAAGCTTCCTCCACTCCAAGCTGTGTTACTATAACAACAAAAGGTCCAAGGGGACTGAATTGTTCACCTGCTTTTTCTTTATATAACCTGGTACTGTCAATTTGAAACATGCTTATGAAAACAGCAAAATAATAACAAGCTCAGGACAGATAGAAATGAAGTACAATTGAACACTTTGAAAAATCTACGGAAAGGATCGGTTTTGAAGAGTTAACCCTATTTCCCCTAATGGGCCCCACCCTTATGTCCCAGGGGGCCACAACCTTAATCAATGAAAAAGTTAATCCCACTCAATGCTCCAGTAATAACAGTACTAAGATGTCCTTGTACACCACATCTGGATACTCCAGGTGATATACCGTAAAAACCCATGTAATTTGCGCACCTGTGTAATTTGCGCAGGTACTTTTTGAGGCTGAAAATCGGGAAAAAAGCTTCTACTCGAATATTTTGCGCACCCAAAAAATCTGGGAAAAAACCGCTGGTCATGCTCCGAAAATCGATCTCTGAATATTTTTTTTTTTAAATATATTTCTATGATTTTTTTTTCATTGATGTAAAATGATATTTAAAACCAAGAAGAAACTACGTAAAATGTGTATTTTGTTGCTTGTTTTCTTTGAATTATCTGATCACACGTGTGCGCATATCGGCATACATCAATTCATTTTAGCAATATTTTACATAAAACATTTACTTGCTTACAAAAACATATCAATTAATAAGTAATTCGATGTTTAGTAACCGCTGGTGCATATCTCCTGGTGAAAGACATAATTAGATACCTTTTATTGATCATATTTACGATCAGTGAGAAGGGCTCATCATGGCGGCTTGGGTTACGTTACTTCAAACCAGGTCATGTCACAGTTCAGTTTGGCCACGGAATTAGATTATCTAAGTCCGTGGTTTGTCGATATTTTTTACAAATTACAATGCAGTAATTAGCTAACACTATCTCTGTGATTACCCGTTAACAATAGCTCTACTAATTGAAATGATTTGCAGTCGCGATCGACGGACCGTGTTTTTGTCTTTTTCACTCACCAACACGTGGCGTGAATTACGAAGCCCTAGTGCATTGTCATAACAACAGACTGATTTGACTGATAAGGGATTATAAAAAAATATGTTTATATTAGAAGCGTGGACAATCAATACATCCTCCAAGGAAAACTGTGATTACCCGTTAACAATAGCTCTTGCTTCATTTAATAAATATTTTTTTACGATGCTTCATTTAATAAATATTGAAATAATTCACGAGGTTATTATCAATCACGTGTTTACGTAATGTTAGACGCGAGATCAAAATGAAAGTGAGCCGGAAAAAAACATGCTATACGTATGCGCATAGGGGATTTGAAAAACCCTTACAGAACTTACACGGAACGGAGCTTAAATTGAACAACTACATTTTCGTAATAGTATGGGGAAACGCACCGAGATGTCGAAACGTAATGTCGTAAGTTGATCGGCGATTCTCTGGCATAGGAATTTGGCTAAACTTTTTTTTGTTAACAGTTACCTATTTAATAATACTTTTCACATAAACTCACATACCAACACATTATGTATCTTTTATTAATGTTTGACATAAATAAATTTGTTGATCGTCATTTGTCTTAGAGTTCCGTGTACCAAGGGAATTAATCCAAGATGGCGATCTCCCAGAATCGTCGATCTTTTCCTGAAAAAAACTTGAAATTTTCTATACCTGTGTATTTTACGCCCCCCCCACTTTGGGTATTAAATTTCTGGAAAAAAAGTGCGCAAATTACATGGGTTTTTACGGTAGTATATAGAAGATATGTCCCCTACAAACCTTTTCGAAAGTAAAGTTCAAAGGTCTATTCATAGATCACAGTGACCTAATTCTTTTACTCTGCACTCTGCCATCCCAAGATGTCCTTGTATACCAAATCTGGTTACTCCTGGTGAAATAGTATAGAAGATTTGCCCCAGACAAACTTCACGGACGGACCGAGTGCAAACCTATAGTCCCCCCCCCCCCACCCCCACCCCCACATTAAACTCTTTGAAAAATCTGGCAAAAGGATCCTTTACACGAAATTAACTCATTCACCCCTGAAATGTTATAATGAACTATTCCAACCATTGATTTGGAAGAGTTTAAATGTGTCTTTAGGGGTAAATGATTTAAAGATGAACCCCCTGGCCTTCAAATGTACTGATGAGGTAAAGGTTTTGAAGAGTTAACCCTATTTCCCTTATTGGGCCCCACACTTATGTCCCAGGGGACAACACCCTTCATCAATGAAAAATGAAATCCTATTCAATGGAGGCTCCAGTTATGATAAATATCAAATCAGGTTAGAATTTCATTACCAGTTCTAAAGGAGTAGACTTTAAAGATTAATCCCTATTGATTCCCACTCCTCTTGTGGAATATTTTTTCAGTGTTTACCTGGTCATAATTAATCTTACAACTCCAGGACGTCCCTCTATCCAGCCTAGTCGTAGTCCGGGGGCAAAAATCTTGGAAAAAGTCCCATTGGAAAGAACACAGCCCAGGTATTCAGGATCATCACTGAAACAATTTAATCCTTCATTTTTCGTGATCACTGTGAAATATCTGCTGTACTGTGATATTGATCAGTCTGATTTTGGTATGAAAGAACACACACAGCTCAGTAGTAGCTATATAGGTACGGTAATATTGAGTTTCATGAAAGGAAAGTATGTGATTTTTTCTTTAAACATCATTATATTACAGAGATTAGGTAGCCTGTATAATCCAGCCACAGACCATGCTTCACTTTGGTGAACAAGGAACCTCGTCCCAGGATTATACCACGATCTGGAAAAGCCAGCTTGCAAGGAAGGCAGTGTACATGTTCTACCCTCATATTCTATGGGTGTTACGTGACCATCAGTTATCATTACTTAATACCTCTACTAAATGCATTAACCCCTGGAGACACATTTGAACTCTTCTAATTCAAAGGTTGGAATAGTTCATTATGAAATTTCAGGGGTGAATGAGTTAACCTTTGTCAAAGCTTTTTGTTTACTTGGTTTTACACTACATTGAAAAATTAATTTTAATTCTACATGTATGCTTGGACTTGTTTATATACTGAAATACCTGACATCGTAAGAAAGGAGGCGAGGAGGAGGGTTACCCTCCTCAAAATGAAGCAGGTTGTAAACGTCTTCAGTAAATAATAGCACATCATACTTCCTAGCAAGTTCTACCAGCCTGTTACATTTTTCTAAAAAAAAAAAAAAAAAAAAAAAAAAATTGCAAGGTTTCTGAGTCAACTAAAATTATAATTTGCAAAGTTTTAAATTTGATCCTTGCATAACCTGAAGCCTTAAAATTAGAAACATAAAATTAAAATACATTAAACAAATGTATACAATGAACTCACTAATTTTTCATGGGGTTTCAAATTTCGTTGATTTCTTTGCTAATCTTCATCCACGAATTCATAGGGTCACAAAGTAATACATGTTTGATATAAAACTATTCTCTGTTGGAGTGGGTACTCATAATCCACAAAATATTATACCTACAAGATGATGTTTTGTTGGGAAATTTCAAACCACGAAATGTTGGCCCCACTAAAATATCTGATTTCACAGTACATACTATTAATGGTAGTAGGTATAACATTACCAGGGGAGGGACAGTTCCCTCGTGGGTTGTTATACACTGTCATAAGGTACAGCATGGTCCAGAAAGGACATTTCCACGTGCTCTTGTCTCCAGCTTTATGTCTGTGTTTCTTCAACATCTCCTCAAGTTTGTCCACATCTATACCATCATCCCCAACAGGAACTTTAAAAAGAAAGACCAGGATTATATTTCTTTACTAGAAAACAAACTAGGATTATTTTATAAAGGTATAATATATTGATGATTCCATTTGGGAAATTTACAAAAATGCGTCGCAAAATAAACTGGAAATCTAGAATGGTGACATCCTCCCTGCAAAAGTGCCTGCTTTACCCTCATACATTTCACTGTCTCTTATTGTTTTTAATTTAAGTAAGTTTATTTTTAATTTCAATACAATCGATTGACAGAAAATCAGTCAAAGGAATAAGGCACTGGCTACAATGTAGTACTATTTAAGTTGTATACCATTACACATTAACTATCTCTACAGTAAATGTATATGTTATGCAAGGGAAGCAACTCCTAACAGATTTTTTCCTTTCTTTTTTCATCTAAAAGTTGATTTGCTAAGAATGCCAAGAATATAGTTATGAGAGCTGCCTGGGTTGAATCAACCATGGATTCAGCTACCCGAACAACTTTTGTCCTCGCGTAGGAGGTCTTGCAGACTCCATACATCTAACTCCTAACAAAATGTATTATAAAGCTGATGCAATAAGCTAAAAATGGTCATGCATTTTTGAGAAACAGAATGTTGTACTTTTATCAAATGACGTCAAAAAAGAAGAACATGATAACAAAATATCATAGAGCTGCCTCAAACTCATTCTCAAAATTCATGGCAGTTACATTCTGTTACGGTCTCAGCACCCCTGGAATACGTCATCACGAAACTGAAGACTCGCCACCTTGTGAATGATACAACTAGAATATTTTGATCCTATAGCACAGAAGTGTAACAGTAAAATGGATGGCTTTGAAGCCAAGGGTGTCTATCCTCTTCAAAAGACAGGTTTTGTCTTGTGATTAGTCAGAATATTTTTTTCCTAAAACCAAATGGATAGATAACTGCATGCTGTAAATTTTGCCATGCTATATTGCAGTGGCGCAGAGAAAGCAAGTAAGTGTTACACCTGCAGTTTTGGGAATGACACCAACTGGGCACTTGTCTACTGACTGGGCACTGTAATGTTACCTGGTATAACAGTCCTTCCCAGGTCCTTTCCCAACATCTTGATGGCTATGAAGTAAGTTGGGTCCTCTACAAAGACAGGAATATCCTCTTTAAACAGGACAGTGGCTGTCAAGTGAAGACCATGTGTGGCACCTGCTGTCACCATCAGGTTATCTCTGCAACAAAAGGTCAACAATAGGTTATCACTACAACAAAATGTCAACAAGAAGTTATCACTAAAACAAAAAGGTCACCATGATGCTATCACTATAACAAAAGGTCACCATGATGTTATTACTATAACAAAAGGTCACCATGATGTTATCACTATAAAAAAGGTCACCATGATGTTATCACTACAACAAAAGGTCAATATGATGTTATCACTACAACAAAAGGTCACCATCAGGTTATCACTACAACAAAAGGTCATCAATGAGGTTATCCCTACCACAAAAGGTCACCATGATGGTATCCCTACAGTTAAAGGCCAACATGAGGTTATCACTACAACAAAAGGTCACAATAATGTTATCACTACAACAAAAGGTCACCATGATGTTATAACTACAACAAAAGGTCACCATGAGGTTATCACTACAACAAAAGGTCACCATGAGGTTATCACTACAACAAAGGGTCATCAATGAGGTTATCCCTACCACAAAAGGTCACCATGATGGTATCACTACAACAAAAGGTCACCATTACGTTATCACTATAACAAAAGGTCACCATCAGGTTATCACTACAACAAAAAGGTCACAATCAGGTTATCACTACAACAAATGGTCAACATGATGTTATCACTATAACAAAAGGTCAACATGATGTTATCACTACAACAAAAGGTAAACATCAGGTTATCACTACAACAAAAGGTCACCATGATGTTACCACTACAACAAAAGGTCACCATGAGGTTATCGATACCACAAAAAGGTCACCATGATGTTATCACTACAGTTAAAGGTCAACATGAGGTTATCACTACAACAAAAGGTCACAATAATGTTATCACTACCACAAAAGGTCACCATGATGTTATTACTACAACAAAAGATCACCATGAGGTTATCAATACCACAAAAGGTCACCATGAGATTATCACTACAACAAAAGGTCACCATGAGGTTATCACTACAACAAAAGGTCACCATGATGTTACCACTACAACAAAAGGTCGCCATGAGGTTATCAATACCACAAGAGGTCACCATGAGATTATCACGACAACAAAAGGTCACCATAAGGTTATAACTAAAACAAAAGGTCACCATTACATTATCCCTACAACAAAAGGTCACAATTACATTATCACTACAACAAAATGTCACCATGAGGTTATCGATACCACAAAAAGGTCACCATGATGTTATAACTACAACAAAAGGTCACCATGAAGTTATTACTACAACAAAGATCACCATGAGGTTATCACTGCAACAAAGGGTCATCAACGAGGTTATCCCTACCACAAAAGATCACCATGAGGGTATCAATACAACAAAAGGTCACCATTACATTATCCCTACAACAAAAGGTCACAATGATGTTATCACTACAACAAAGAGTCATCAATGAGGTTATCCCTACAACAAAAGGTCACAATTACATTATCACTACAACAAAAGGTAACCATGAGGTTATAACTAAAACAAAAGGTCACAATGATGTTATCACTACACCAAAAGGTCATCAATGAGGTTATCCCTACAACAAAAGGTCACAATAATGTTATCACTACAACAAAGGGGCATCAATGAGGTTATCCCTACCACAAAAGATCACCATGAGGTTATCACTAAAACAAAAGGTCACCATGATGGTATCACTATAACAAAAGTTCACCATGATGTTATCACTACAACAAAAGGTCACCATGAGGTTATAACTAAAACAAAAGGTCACCATGATGTTATCACTACAACAAAAGGTCACCATGAGGTTATAACTAAAACAAAAGGTCACAATGATGTTATCACTACAACAAAAGGTCATCAATGAGGTAATCCCTACCACAAAAGGTCAACATGAGGCTATCACTACAACAAAAGGTCACAATAATGTTATCACTACCCCAAAACGTCGCCATGAAGTTATTACTACAACAAAAGGTCACTATGAGGTTATCACTACCACAAAAGGTCACCATGAAGTTATTACTACAACAAAAGGTCATCAGGAGGTTATCACTACAACAAAAGGTCATCAATGAGGTAATCCCTACCACAAAAGGTCAACATGAGGTTATCACTACAACAAAAGGTCACAATAATGTTATCACTACCCCAAAACGTCGCCATGAAGTTATTACTACAACAAAAGGTCACTATGAGGTTATCACTACCACAAAAGGTCACCATGAGGTTATCACTACAACAAAAGGTCACAATAATGTTATCACTACCACAAAAGGTCACCATGATGGTATAACTACAAAGGTCACCATGATGTTATCGCTAAAACAAAAGGTCACAATGAGGTTATCACTACAACAAAAGATAACCATCAGGTTATCACTATAACAAAAGTTCACCATGATGTTATCACTATAACAAAAGGTCACCATGATGTTATCGCTACAACAAAGGGTCACTATCAGGTTATCCCTACAATAAAAGTTCACCATGACGTTCTCACTACAACAAAAGGTCACCATGATGTTATCGCTACAACAAAAGGTCACCATGATGTTATCACTACAACAAAAGGTCACCATGAGGTTATCACTAAAACAAAAGGTCATCAATGAGGTTATCCCTACCACAAAAGGTCACCATGATGGTATAACTACAACAAAAGGTCACCATCAGGTTACAACAAAAAGGTCACAATCAGGTTATCACTACAACAAATGGTATCCATGAGGTTATGGAGATTATCACTACAACAAAAGGTCACCATGATGTTATCACTACAGGTAAAGGTCAACATGAGGTTATCACTACAACAAAAGGTCACAATAATGTTATCACTACCACAAAAGGTCAACATGATGTTATTACTACAACAAAAGGTCACCATGAGGTTATCAATACCACAAAAGGTCACCTTGAGATTATTACTACAACAAAAGGTCACCATGATGTTATTACTACAACAAAAGGTCACAATGAGGTTATCGCTACAACAAAAGGTCACCATGACGTTATCACTACAACAAAAGGTCATCAATGAGGTTATCCTTACCACAAAAGGTCACCATGATGTTATCACTATAACAAAAGGTCATCATGATGTTATCACTACAACAAAAGGTAACCATGAGGTTATAACTACAACAAAAGGTCACCATGATGTTATCACTACAACAAAAGGTCACCATTACATTATCACTACAACAAAAGGTCACCATCAGGTTATCACTACAACAAAAAGGTCACAATTAGGTTATCACTACAACAAAAGGTCACAATCAGGTTATGGAGGTTATCACTACAACAAAAGGTAACCATGAGGTTATAACTACAACAAAAGGTCACCATGATGTTATCGCTACAACAAAGGGTCACCATCAGGTACTATAACAAAAGGTCACCATTATGTTATCACTACAACAAAAGGTCACCATGAGGTTATCACTACAACAAGAGGTCACCATGATGTTATCACTATAACAAAAGGTCACAATTATGTTATCACTACAACAAAGGGTCACCATCAGGTTATTAATACAACAAAAGGTCAATATGATGTTATCACTACAACAAAAGGTCACCAAGAAGGTTATCACTAAAACAAAAGGTCATCAATGAGGTTATCCCTACCACAAAAGGTCACCATGATGTTATCACTATAACAAAAGGTCACCATTATGTTATCACTACAACAAAGGGTCACCATCAGGTTATTACTACAACAAAAGGTCAATATGATGTTATCACTACAACAAAAGGTCACCATGAGGTTATCACTACAACAAAATGACACCATGAGGTTATCACTACCACAAAAGGTCACCATGGGGTTATCACTACAACAAAATGTCACCATGAGGTTATCACTACAACAAAAGTTCACCATGATGTTATCACTATAACAAAAGGTCATCATGATGTTATCACTACAACAAAAGGACATCAATGAGGTAATCTCTACCACAAAAGGTCACCATGGTGTTATCACTATAACAAAAGGTCACCATGACATTATCAATACAACAAAAGGTCACCATAATGTAATCACTACAACAAAATGGTCACAATCAGGTTATCACAACAGCAAATGGTATCCATGAGGTTATGGAGGTTATCACTACAACAAAAGGTCACCATGATGTTATCACTACAGTTAAAGGTCAACATGAGGTTATCACTACAACAAAAGGTCACAATAATGTTATCACTACCACAAAAGGTCAACATGATGTTATTACTACAACAAAATGTCAACATGAGGTTATCAATATCACAAAAGGTCACCATGAGATTATTACTACAACAAAAGGTCACCATGATGTTATTACTATAACAAAAGGTCACCATGAGGTTATCACTACAACAAAAGGTCACCATGAGGTTATCACTACAACAAAAGGTCATCAATTAAAGGTCAACATGAGGTTATCACTACCACAAAAGGTCACCATGAAGTTATTACTACAATAAAAGGTCACCATGATGTTATCACTACAACAAAAGGTCACCATTACATTATCACTAGAACAAAAGGTCACCATCAGGTTACCACTACACCAAAAAGGTCACAATCAGGTTATCACTACAACAAAAGGTCACAATCAGGTTATGGAGGTTATCATTACAACAAAAGGTAACCATGATGTTATCACTACAATTAAAGGTCAACATGAGGTTATCACTACCACAAAAGGTCACCATGAAGTTATTACTACAATAAAAGGTCACCATGATGTTATCACTATAACAAAAGGTCATCAATGAGGTAATCCCTACCACAAAAGGTCAACATGAAGTTATCACTACAACAAAAGGTCACAATAATGTGATCACTACCACAAAAGGTCACCATGAAGTTATTACTACAACAAAAGGTCACCATGAGGTTATCACTACCACAAAAGGTCACCATGAGGTTATCACTACAACAAAAGGTCACCATGAGGTTATCACTACAACAAAAGGTCACCATGAGGTTATCACTACAACAAAAGGTCACCATGAGGTTATCACTACAACAAAAGGTCACCATGAGG